TTAACATAAAAATGAGTTGTTGATAGGCGATATGAGAATGATATGTATCTTTATTTCAGGCCTGTTTGGAGATCCGACAAAAAGGAAGGGAGTGGTAGCTGACAAGGTGAGAACAGAAAATCACTGCTAGCTGACTGTATTACATGTGTATATTGTGTACTGGACACTGTCCTCTGTCATTCTGAACTGTGTACAGATGGTAGAGATCCTTTGCCAGTTTGCTGATCACGCTTTGAAGAAGTGTCCGGAACAAGGCAAGATCCAAGTGATGGAGCAACATTTCTATGTAAGCTGACATGCCTGAAAGAACACACCCACAATGTCCAGTCTGCCAGTCTACCAGCAGCTGAGCTGATACAGAACATACAGTGAATCACCATAGCTCACAATGGAGTGCTTCAAACAAAACCAGCACGGTTGATGAAATATTCCAACACTGATTTTCCTTCATTGTGAGAGTAAGATAAGAAGGTGGTTATCGCAGAGTATAAAGACTGACAGCCAGTCAGCCGGTTTCAAAATGCATCTGTGATGTTCACCAATTATCTCTGTGTATCTCATGAGTTGAATCCACACAACCAGAAATGTAAAAACAACAACTCGGAGTAGAGAGGGTGTTACACATGTTTGGACTGTTTATGTTCTGAATGTTAAGACTTGAGATCCTTGTTTTTGTCATCTCTCATCTCATTTTACTCTCTCTCTCTCTCTGTCTCTCTCTCTCTCTGTCTCTCTCTCTCTCTGTTTCTCTCTGTCTCTGTCTCTCTCTCTCTGCTGTGGTGTTTTCAGGATGTGGTTCCAGTCCTGGTGGATTACTGCCTGCTGCTACAGAGAGCGTAAGTATACACTGTACATTTGTTTTTGGAAAATCACATTGTTGATCAGAGGAAGGTTTGCCTGAACAGTACAGTAAGGTTTGCCTCTGACGACCCTGTTTGTGCGTCAACACACAGTGGAACACTGCAAACATATATGCAGACCTGCAATTTTCAGATCTTCCTTCGCTGAGTCCATTTTGAAGGACAAATTGATATGATTGCTGTGTGTGTTTGCGTTGGACAGTGACCTGCTGTTCAGCCATCTGTATGCTCGCCTGGTAGAGAACATGGTTGCCAAGGGAGTTTTCCTGGAGTCGCTGGAGTCGTACATTGTCGCTGATCGCCTCGGTCACCTGACCACACCCATCATGAGGGACCTCCTGGCTCATTACCATGGCAACGGTATGATGGACAGTTTGGAGAGATGCATAGTCCATCTGGATGTCACCAGCCTGGACATACAGCAGGTGTGTGTGTGTGCATGTGTGAATTAGAAAACATCCATTTGTCCCTACATTTTTCACTGATACCTTTTTCACTGTGTGTGTGTGTGTGTGTGTGTGTG